CTTCTGCCCACTTTTTGACTTGATTATTTGTTTTTTGGGTGTTGAGTTTGAGAAGTTCTTTATAGATCTTGGATACCAGCCCTTTATCTGTAGTGTCATTTGCAAATATCTTCTCCCATTCTGTGGGTTGCCTCTTTGTTTTGTTGACTGTTTCCTTTGCTGTGCAGAAGCTTTTTATCTTGATGAAGTCCCAAAAGTTCATTTTTGCTTTTGTTTCACTAGCCTTTGGAGATGTATCTTGAAAGAAGTTGCTGTGGGTGATGACAAAGAGGTTACTGCCTATGTTCTCCTCTAGGATTTGGATGGATTCCTGTCTCACATTGAGGTCTTTCATCCACTTTGAGTTTATCTTTGTGTATGGTGTTAGAGAATGGTCGAGTTTCATTCTTCTGCATGTGGCTGTCCAATTTTCCCAGCACCATTTATTGAAGAGACTGTCTTTTTTCCATTGCATATTTTTTCCTGCTTTGTCGAAGATTATTTGACCATAGAGTTGAGGGTCCATATCTGGGCTCTCTGTTCTGTTCCATTGGTCTATATGTCTGTTTTTGTGCCAGTACCATGCTGTCTTGGTGATCACTGCTTTGTAGTATAGCTTGAAATCGGGCAACGTGATGCCCCCGGCTTTGTTTTTCTTTTTCAAAATTTCCTTGACGATTCAGAGTTTTTTCTGGTACCATACAAATTTTAGGACTGTTTGTTCCAGCACTTTGAAAAATGTCATTGGAATTTTGATCGGGATGACACTGAAGGTATAGATTGCTCTGGGTAGCATAGACATTTTAACAATGTTTATTCTTCCGATCCATGAGCATGGCATGTTTTTCCATCTTTTTGTGTCTTCTTCAATTTCTTTCATGAGTGTTCTGCAGTTCCTAGAGTATAGATCCTTTACCTCTTTGGTTAGGTTTATTCCGAGGTATCTTATGGTTTTTGGTGCTATTGTAAATGGAATCGTTTCTCTAATTTCTCTTTCTACAGTTGCATTGTTAGTGTATAAGAAAGCAACTGATTTCTGTGCATTGATTTTGTATCCTGCCTCCATCCTTCTTTTTTTTTTTTTTTAAAGATTTTATTTATTGAGAGAGAGAATGAGATAGAGAGAGCATGGGGGGGGGAGGGTCAGAGGGAGAAGCAGACCCCCCGCCGAGCAGGGAGCCCGATGCGGGACTCGATCCCGGGACTCCAGGATCATGACCTGAGCCGAAGGCAGCTGCTTAACCAACTGAGGCACCCAGGCGCCCCTGCCTCCATCCTTCTAATTGAATATTTCCTAGGTTTCATCTTCCCTTTAAATAACTCCCTTAGGGCACTCCGATGATTAGTTAAATTTCAGATACTCTTTGTGCACGTGTCTTGTAGAATTGTGGACTCTCCCAAGCTGGAAGAGATCTCCAAGTCATCCGTCCAAATATCTCTCATGTCTTTGTGGTCAAATTGATCATTCATGTCAAGTAAAGATGGGTTTTCTTGCATTTTCATTGATGCCCGAGGATGCAAGAGAACCCAAAACTGGTGAATTGTCTCTCTAGACTCTTCCATAACCCAGTTTCCCTTTAGTAAAAAACATCTCTGGCCTTATGACTTTCAACCACTCCAGCCGGCACTGCCCCCAGGCCCATTTTGATTGATAGTATCACATCCGCCTCTTACCTTACCCTTTGTCCCCTCTTCTATTAGTCCGCCTCCTTTAGAGCATGTCTGAAATCCACCCTCTCTTGCAACTTTCTTCTCTTCCTTCTGTAACAACTACCTTCTAAACTCAAGCCTTTCCTCAGCCCATCTGCTTGAGTTCCCTGCATCATCTCTCTTAGAGTTGGCTTGATCTTGGTAGTCACTTTCTCAGAAATTTGCAGTAGTGCCCAGCTATCTTACAAATTAAATAAAAATGTTAATGTCTTCAGGTAGAGAACCCAGCCTGTCTGTCCACATTGATTTTCCCATTTGAGTCTTAGGCTCTTCAACATTCCACTACTTAATTTTTAGAGAATTCTTTTGACAGTTATGTAGCTCTTCTTTGAAATGATAATTGTTATTTCTCTGTAGTTCTTTTAGTTTTTTTTTTTTAAGATTTTATTTATTTGAGAGAGAGAGAGTGAGAGAGAGAAAGAGCACAAGAGGGGGGAGCGGGAGAGGGAGAAGCAGACCCCCCGCCGAGCAGGGAGCCCGATGCGGGACTCGATCCCGGGACTCCAGGATCATGACCTGAGCCGAAGGCAGTCGCCTAACCAACTGAGCCACCCAGGCGCCCTCTTTTAGTTTTAAGGGCTGATGACAACAACAGCAGCAGCAGCAGTAAAACTAGCTGGATCAGTGCCTTGCCCATAGTAGATAACTATCTGGGACCTGAACAACTGAGCAAATAAATGGAAGCACAGGAAATCACTGCAGACACCCAGATTTGCCCAGAAACCAGAAGTGTAGGACTCAGATTCTTGAAAAGAGAATTCTTGCTTCCTTGGTAGCTTCCTATAGTGGTCAAGAAGAATGAGCCTTACTAAATATGGACTAAGAATGGACTAAAATATTCCAAAATAATCTGTAATACTTTCAGGTTCTTGACTCAAATTCAGTATTTCTGTGACTTTATGTATGTTAATCTTCCTGTTTAGGAAGTTCCGCTATGAACAGTTCCAGTATCATTTTCTTTGGTTTGTTTTACCAGTTGGCTCTTAATATTTTATTTTATTTATTTTATTTATTTTTGTTTTTTTATTTTTATTTTTTGTGATGGTAAAGGATGATTTTTATTATTTTTATTTTTATTTACAGTTAACATTTTTTTTATTATGTTCAGTTAGCCAGCCTCGTTAGTTTTTGATGTAGTGTTCAACGATTCATTGGTTACGTATAACACCCAGTGCTCAGCACCACACGTGTCCTCCTTAATGCCCATCACCCGCGTACCCCATCCCCCACCCCCCTCCCTTCTGTAACCCTCAGTTTGTTTCCCAGAGTCCAGAGACTCTCATGGTTTGTCTCCTGCTCTGATTTCTTCCCATTCAGTTTTCCCTCCATTCCCCTGTGGTCCTCCACACTATTCCTTATGTTCCACATATGAGTGAAACCGTATGATAATTGTCTTGGCTCTTAATATTTTAAACTGAACTGAAGGGTGAGAAAACTTACCTATCAGATTCTTAATTAAACGATTCACTAAGACCTCTTTCAATGGTTCCCTTAAAATATACCTTTATGTAAAGAGAGGGCTCCACGTAGGAAGTCATCTCTCCTGCATTGTTTCCTACATATTTTTCTATATCCTCGGTCATTCTTTTCCTGAGCCCTAGGGTCTCTGGAGAAAAGAGCAAGCTCTTGTCATAGTCTTCACCCAACTGAATGTGATTTATTCCTCACAGTTTTACAGGCTACGTTCAGACAACCATGGGCTGTTGAGAGGAACTAACCCTGTTCCCCCACAGAGAGGAAAGACTGGCAACACATGGCTTTCATACAGTGCCAGTGAGTGCTGGTGCCAACAGGGGTCCTGGAGAGAGGATCAGAAAAGCACTCATGGAGAAAGTGCTTTGGGGAATGTGCCTTTGAAGGATAGATGTGTCTTCAATCAGTAAAGACATGGGGAAGGGCATTCCAGGCCAGGAGACTGTCACTGAGCAAGGGCAATGGGAGGCAATGAAGAGTGTGTGTTTGGGTAATGGCAAGTACTTGCTGGCATTCAGAAGATGTGAGCAGTGGTGTGGCTCATGATCCCTTCAGTGCATGCTTCTTGTGCTTCTACTCTGTGCCAGGTGCTATGGACAGGGAGGAATGAGACCAGATTCTGGCTTTGTGCTCATACTCCAGTGGAGGCAGGGGACCAGCAAGGGCTGGAATAGTGATCAGGCACCCTAGAAAGTGGCAAGTGCCCTGAGACAGTGGTAGACAGTGAACTCCTTGGAGCTCATGGAGGAGGAATATGAGGAGAGCATGCACAAGAGAGCCTTCTACACAATTCTGGAAAAACTTGAGAAAAATGATATTTTTTTGGATCCAAACTCATATACCCAGATCCTTTAGGCCTCATAAAGGCTGTGGGGTATGTTTGCCAAACATCAGAAATGGATTTCTAATTTGGGACCATGCTCTTAGGTTGTGCAAAATTGATACCACTCAAATGGTACAAGGATCATGTGTCCCTCAGAGAAGGTGGGAATACTGCTGCCCAACATGAAGCAAGTCCATAGCACCTGTTAGAAGAAATTCATGAACATCAACACTTCTGTATCTAGAATTACACGTAAAAGTTTTTCTTAATTGTACATAAAGGAGAGTTTGTATAGAGGCAAATCTTAATGTCAGCTTTAGGGGTCATATCAAGGTCACTGGACAAGATAGCATTGGAAAGCTCAGTCCCTTTGGTGAAGCAGGATTGAAGGGGGCTGGAATTAGGAGGAGACTAAGGAAATTTGTCTTCATGCAGAAGCTAGAAGCAGTTTAAGAACCTTCTTGAGTGAGAAGCAATCCTACTTTCTCCACCCCAAAGCATTGCTATGAGAATCATAGCACCATATGGAATAGTCAGTTCTAACCTGGAAAATCTGGGTAGTTGAAAAGGGTTCTCATCTTTATTTTAAATGTGCTGCTACATGATAATTGACTTCCCTTGTGTTGCTAGAAGGGCTATTTTTGATCTAGAAACATTTCTTTCTTTGAAGGTCATCTGGATAGACTATCTACTGTCCACAGACAAAACATTCTTTAGTTTCTTCATCTCTTATTCTTGGGTAAGAAAACAGTTTTTATCTTTCAGACTTTTCTCATATACCTATCTTTTATATTTTACTGAGCACTTATAATCCAATGGAAGTAAGAGTCCTCTGTGCTTCGAAACTGATCAACAAGTCATAAGTGATTGGGGAGAATCTAAGTAATGAGTTGCATTTTAAATAATAATAACACCTGACTTAATCAATAATTCATACTATCAAGACATGCTCAGTCAGGCTTAAAGCACAGGTCAAGATGTAACATCAAGTAATCACAGACAATTCTTTTTTTGTTTTCATATGTTATGCTTCACAGATTTGCATGTCATCCTTGTGCAGAGGCCATGCTAATCTCTGTAATTGTTCCAGTTTTAGCATATGTGTTGCTGAAGCAAGCACCACAATTGATTCTTAACACCAGTGAACTGAATGCATGTGAAATTGTATATCACAAATAAAAATATCTGTTTATATATGTCCTTGATTTTCACCAGCTGCAGATTTAAATTAAAATAATATTTTATCTCAAGAGATTATGGGGCGCCTGGGTGGCTCAATCAGTTAAGTGGCTGCCTTCGGTTCAGGTCGTGATCCCAGCGTCCTGGGATCGAGCCCCACATCGGGCTCCCTGCTCAACGGGAAGGCTGCTTCTCCCTCTCCTACTCCCCCCGCTTGTGTTCCCTCTCTTGCTGTGTCTCTCTCTGTCAAATAAATAAATAAAATATTTTTAAAAAAATGTAACATTCTACCCATTTCCTGAGAGAATTATAAAGTGAAGAAAAGAAAAGATTTTTTTGGTTTTGATAAATTGTGGATTTTGGATTGAGGGGTGTGTGTGTGTGTGTGTGTGTGTGTGTGTGTATGCAAACTCAGTTGGAGAACAAATGCAAACAGAACTGAACTTGAATGTTGATTTTTTGCATCTAATTTTATATTTATATAGGCATGCATATGATCATATTCTCTTATGAATGAAAACTCAATCTACATATTTCCCTTGAACTGTGATGTATAAAATAAAATGTAACATATATTTATTGCAAGAAATGTAATTTGATGTTTAGGTTCTCTGGGAACTTTGATATTTCTATACTGAAAAAATGAACAGATATGGAAAGCCTGTTTATAAATCTTAAGATGTAACCATTATACTCATTCTCACCCATTTCTTGCAAAAGGGACATTTTCCCAGGAATGCAGCTGGTCATTTCCATAAATATATTTTCAAAGATTGCATTGAACTTACATGTCTCTCATGCCAAATTGCTCATTTTATAAAAATATCTCAATAGAAACACAAATTGTCCTTGTTCAGCCTTGAAATTCTATACTGGGAATATTTTCTTAATATAGAAATTCCACTGTGGTGGTTACACCTGGTGAACAGGTTTTACTTTGTTTCTGGCTTCAAAGTTATGTAGATGCTAAGTATTAAGGGCTTATTAATTTGGCTCATATTAAAGTGGCTCATACTATGCATGAAGGAGACCATTTTCTTACATAGGTAATTCTGAGTGAGACACCTTTGTAATGCATGATCATTGCAATTGTTGTTTTTCATGTTAAAAGAAACTCTTTTCTGTTTTCCTTTTTTAAAATTTCAGCTTTACTGAAATATATTTAACATATAAAAATTATGGAATGCTTCATGAAGTTGGGTGTCATCCATGCACAGGGGCCATACCAGTCTTCTCTGTATAGTTCCAATTTTACTGTATGTGCTGCCCAAGCGAGCACTGCTTTCAGTTGTTCTTTAAGAGAAAGGTTGGGGGCGCCTGGGTGGCTCAGTCATTAAGCGTCTGCCTTCAGCTCCGGTCATGGTCCCAGGGTCCTGGGATCCAGCGCCACATAGGGCTCCCTGTTTGGCGGGAAGCCTGCTTCTCCCTCCCCCGATCCTCCTGCTTGTGTTCCCTCTCTCGCTGTATCCCTCTCTGTCAAATAAATAAATAAAATCTTCTTTTTAAAAAAAAGAAAGGTTAGAGGTGAGCCCTTTATCCCTAGAGTTGTGTCTCAGGTGTTTGAGCAGGCTTTGTTGGGGACTGTTTGGGGGAGCATCTCGGACCGAAACCAGTGAACCAGTTAAAAATGTCCTCTGTACTTACCACATTCATTTTCCCCTGGACCCTTCGTAACCTTTCGGGGGATCCTAGACTGGTGTTTACATTCTATAGCTCATGAAATATTTATTGTTAGGTTTCCAAAACTTCCTTTCTGTCATTCGTAAGCTAAAATGCTTCTTGTCATTGAAGGTGCTTGAGGATGGAAAGTAAAGCAAACCAAGGACTCAGTGAAGTCATCTTGGAGATTCCCAGGGCTCCTAAAACCTATGAAAAGCCCTGAGATGTCCTGTAGTAAAATATCTGCTTCACTATATTTAACTCAGCATTTTCCAAATGTACCCAACCAAGGAACACTTTGTTTTTATATTTGCTTCAGACCTATTAACATTCTTTGGTGCTGTGTTCTGTGGAAGCAATGACCTTTAGGAAGGTCTGGGTTACTTGTATTAGACCATTTAATGCACATAAGCAATGGCATCTGAGGCTGATATTCTCAAACTCCCCAGGAGTAAGATTTACCAGCCATCTCTGAGCAAGAAGATTAGCAGTTTTTTTTTTTAGATTTATTTATTTATTTGAGAGAGCGAGAATGAGAGAGAGAGAGAGAGTACATGAGAGGGGGGAGGGTCAGAGGGAGAAGCAGGCTCCTCGCTGAGCAGGATCCCCGGGACGCTGGGATCATGACCTGAGCCGAAGGCAGTCGCTTAACCAACTGAGCCACCCAGGCGCCCCAGATTAGCAGTTCTTAATCACAACTTTAAGCTTCCTAGGATAACTGGCCATGAATGTCTGCATTGATTTAGGGTCCAGCAGGTTTGAAGGTAGCAAAAACTTCTGTGGTATCTCCAGTAGGTTCAGAAACTGGCCTTTTAGGCTTAGCACTTTGTCAGCTGCAGAGACAACGGAAAACAATGACCAACCCCCAGAAGGAAGAATGAGACTCATTGGCACAGTCCCCTCTGCTCTTAAATGCTATTGCACAGGAATGACATTCGCCAGAGGTCTCTCCCCCTCTCCCTCTGTACTGAATGTCTTTGAGAGGATGGACTTCGGTAACCGTGACCACGTCCTTGGAGGGGAAGCGTGGGGACCAGCATCACAACTGTGATGACAAAGTCTCCTCCCCTTCCAAGAACGCTCAGAGATAATGTTGCTTCAGAAAGGAGTTAAAGAAAAGAGTTTCAGAATACATTATTTGATTCTTTTTCTTTTTGAAGAATCATCTGTTGAGCCATTAGGGTCACAGACCAAATCCAATTCCATGTTTCTGAGAACCCATCTTTTTCCACTGTAGGAAATTGAGTTTGCATATGGTTTGACAAATTAACTTTTCTTTAAAGAAACAGTAAAAAGTAATTACTCATTCTGCAAAATTTTGAAATCCTTGGCATCAAGTTTCAGTGGATTTTCTTTTCAGTGAATATGATTGGAATTCTATTTAATATATAATTTAAAAAAGTCAGTTTCTGTTTATATAGCATATAAAGTAGATCTTATGTGGACAGTTTAATAGCAAATGTTTGTTTTATGGGCCAATAAAGACTCATAATTAAAAATCTTGAAAGTTCAACATAAGCCCAAGCTTTCTTTCTACTAGCTGGGGAACCTGAGCTTCACTGTGGCAGAGTTCAGGGAGTTACATTTAAGAAAAAGTGTGATTACTTTAACCCAGATGCTGCCCTGCTACCTATAACATCAGGACCCAGCTTCTGTGCCTCTGTTCCTGTGTTCCCTTTTTCATTTTTCTTTTTTTGTTGTTGTTCCTGTGTTCCCTCCGTGCCTCTCATCTCTGTTCCTTCTTTTCAGCTTCCAGAACACTTTATGTGAATTTAAATTTTGCCAGTTGCAACCTTGTATTCTAGTTATCTGTTTACAAGTCTGATCTCTCAAAGGCAATCCGTATCACCTTCATCTCTTTATCCCCCAGAGTCTGCCCTAGAGTCTTCACTTAGAAAATGTCAATCAAATGTCTAATAAATAAATGGGATTTAGCATATATACAACACTTCAGGAAAGATGTGTTGTCTGATAAAGGGAAGCATTCCTTTACTTACACAATTGAATGTTTCCTTTTTAAAAAGAGCTCTCTGGGAAAGAGAACCAGGGTATTGGGACATAGGAGCTTCTCACTGTTGCTCTTCCCCTTTCGTATCTCCCCTGTACTCCTTTCCTTACAGATGGACTGCCAATTACAGCTTTTGAGTTTCTCATTCTTCGTTTTTGGTAAATTCTTGGGTTGATTCTTTTACAGATAAAACAATATTGGAATATGGGGACTAAGTAATGAAAAAGGGGAGAGGAAAAGAGTAGGCTAGAGGAAGAAAGTGTCCATTGACTAAGCCTGGAAAGAGAGGCATTGCACAGCCAGCTCTGTTTGCTCAGTTTTGCGCAGTATCAGTGAATAGCTGAAATAGGGCAGAGTTATAATGTGTGAAGGATAGGCAAGGAAAATTGTCTGTGTAAATAGCTGACTAGGAAACTTCAGGGACAATAGTCTCAACAATGCATTCTTGAGTCTTGAGTGAGTGTAAGAGTGTTAGCCTTGGTTTGATGCCATCATCCGCTTGAATAGTCACAGCAGCAAACACACAAGGGGGCTTTGGTAGAGCTCTTGGGTGGGAGAGAGGTGTGTCGGGAGCTTGGAACCCATCATCTCCAACCACTGGAGGGAAGCCAAGGTGGGAAGGAGTGGATGGAATGCACTTCAAGATTCTTGCCCTTTACAAAGCACGAGTGCTCCTGCACTTCAGCCTTGATGCTGTAAAGGGTCTTGAAGTACGCCAGACTGTCGCTCTTTGCTATAGACCAGAGGTTCTCAAATACTCAAATCTTGTGTCTCACAAATCACTGTCAAGGGACTGGGCACTCACTAGGATAGAAACCAAACTCCCCTATGTGTTTCAGCATAGGACATTGATGTGTTGAGACAGTTTGTCAGCATATTTATGATTTTTGGTGAGTTTCAAGGACATGATCAATTGCAGAAAGGTTATTGGACATAAATGTGATTGTCGATAGGCTGGGGAACCAAAATTGGGAGAAACATGAGATGTTTGTGCTTACTTCTAGTCGGCTGCAAGGTCACGGATGGAGAACGGAGGCGGGAGAGGATGGGAGGAGGGTAGGTGGGAGAAGACACGTGATGTTTGCAGATGGGTAAGAGTGTTGAAAGAGGGCCAATGTCAAGTCATGGAGAGGCGGTCCACTAGTGAGTGAATGCTCAGGCACTGCCACTGACTCTCAGGGTGGCCTTGGGAAAGTTAGCTAAGCTCTCTGGACTCCATTTTCCTCAAAATGGAGATGGTAATAATAGAACCTTGGATTTAGTAAGTGTTTAATAAAGGTCACTTAATGTTATTATCATGTTAAACTTTTTAAAAAAATCTTCTATCTTCCTACTACTATAAAGCTAAATTCAGTAAATGTGGTTGAGTCTGGGCCCTATCCCAAGGGGGCTTTATTGCTTAAATGTAGAAATAACATTGTAATGAGGTTGTTTTCATCTTCACAGAACTCTTAGAGCAAGGGGCCTTAAGACAGATTCTGAGCAAACTCCACCCCAGTTTCTTTGTGATTTCAGAGAAGAAATAGAAACATACCCTTGGTGATTAAATTGAAAAGTTTGCAATATTTTTCAGTTCTGCGTGGGTTTTTTTGGAATTAGCAATCTGTTTTAACTTAATGAAATCCTTTTCATTTATTTATTTTACTTATTTATTTTTTAAAAGATTTTATTTATGAGAGCGAGAGTGAGACCGAGAGAGAGAGAGAGCGTACGCACAAGCAGGGAGGGGCAGAGGGAGAGGGAGAAGCAGGCTCCCCACTGAGCACGGAGCCCAACATGGGACTCCATCCCAGGACCCTGGGACCATGACCTGAGCCGAAGGCAGACGCTTAATGACTGAGCCACCTAGCGCCCCAATGAAATCCTCAATTAAAAATTGAGGGATTATAACTATCAGTTTAAATGCCTCTTCCTTTATTGACTGTCACCTTCACGAGGGCAGAGACTATGTCATCCTCATCCCTGGATTCCCATGCTCAGCATTGCGAAGCGTGGCACAGGGTAGGCACTGCGTGAATGCCAATAAGTGCAGTGCTTTAGCTTTTCGAGTTAGGGTGCTTTCATCTGTCCTAGTTCTGAAAGAGTTCAGACTAAGTCTAGGGAAAATCAAAAGCAGATCTAAAAAAGATAGGATAAAAACTTACTGGTGCTTCCTTATTAGTTCTCGCTAGATTTTTTTAAATGTCAATTAGGAGAATATTATACATTTCATGGATTAATAGAAAATTGAGGTTGGCGTAGAGTGGCCTAGCTAGAAATGTAGGGATTTTGAGCAATAGCTTTAAAAGTATAAACTTTCAGCTATAAGATTACTATGTTTGGAGATCTAATGTACAGTAATGTGACTGCAGTTAAGAGTACTGTGCTTTTTTTTTTTTTTTTTAAGATTTTATTGATTTATTTGACAGAGAGAGACACAGTGAGAGAGGGAACACAAGCAGGGGGAGCGGGAGAGGGAGAAGCAGGCTTCCCGCCAAGCAGGGAGCCCGATGCGGGGCTCGATCCCAGGACCCCGGGATCATGACCTGAGCCGAAGGCAGACGCTTAACGACCGAGCCACCCAGGGGCCCCAACAGTACTGCACTTTATACCTGAAATTTGCTGAGAGTAGT